CAGATAACCAACGTCTCTTTAACCCACAGATTTAGCTCCTTCTTTACGGACTTAAGTATGCACATGTGTTATTGTTGTGACTGAGTTAAATACCTGGGCGCATTCATCCACAATCATATTTCATTTTTAGTAAAGATTTTGAAAAAAAGCAATACGAAATGTTACAGCGACAAGGCGACACGTCATCACTATGTCGGCGGCTGACATGTTTTACAGATACAACATTCAAAATGGTGGCTACCGTCGCGATAGCTTAGGTGCTGTGTTTGCTTGTGATAAGGTTAAGTAACTTGTCAGTTGTTATCGGTAATTTTCCGATCAAAATTCAAACATGAGTTCATGTTCTGATGGTTCTTAACGAACCAAAATGATGTCTCAGGGCAAGGGCCAGGCAAGTCGGACTCGACCAGTTTAAAAATATGTTCCAATGGCAAAGTTAGAAGTGCAGGCTTGCAGTCAATAGATCGAGTAGTTACAATCAATAGATCGAGTTGTTACAGTTAATAAATAGATCGAGTCGTTACAGTCAATAGATCGAGTCGTTACAGTCAATAGATCGAGTCGTTACAGTCAATAGATTGAGTCGTTACAGTCAATAGATTGAGTCGTTACAGTCAATAGATCGAGTCGTTACAGTCAATAGATCGAGTCGAACCTCGGTCACTTGAGTTGCCCATTCGATGACGATGCTGTCCTGCCTGGTTAATGGTGTATTCGTGGATGGACTAAAGCTCAGTAAAGTTTATGTGAGTATCAAACCTTGTGTTAATGCTTGTATGAGTGTGCGCAGGCACATGAATGTCTAGGAAGGTACTTAGGATGAACAGTCATCGGAACCTTCCTTCCAGGACTTACTGACCATAGGGAAACGTTGACGTGGTGATTGTGCAGGTGTTCATTGGTCATTTTCGCCATTCTGATTCTGTTTTAGAATAACATTTTGTACAAATTCATTGAGGTCATCAAATTTCTCCATCGTGCCGCAAAATGATTTCCGAACGGTAGCTGGACAAACCCCACGAAACGAGTCACGAGACGGCCCGGAGACCTTCACGCACATCACGCGAATGGATTTGGCAAGGATACGTAGGTTTGATAATGAACGACGACGCAACATTTCACACACGTCACTGAAGCTACGTAAATGCCAAATGTGTGGACGTATACGTAGCAATATGGCCATCCGTTGTATGTGAGCGACGGGGATGGCAGAATACAATGTGGGTGTGTACTAGTATGGTAAAAGCCAATGGCGCTGTTGAGAATGTTTCCTTTTAATATCGCACACGTCTGTCTGGAAAAAGAATTAGGTGATTAAACTTGTATCTAAGCATACCCCAAGACGTTAAAAGATGGTACTTGTTGTTACCTTGCCTGCTGTTAATGTATCTTAAAACCTCATTTAATCACACTGTTGAGTTTTAGTTAAGAAAGAAAGTTTGCTCTGTGTAGTGTAATAAAACGTTGCTTTGACGTTACAATAGTTCAGGGCGAAACTATACTTTATTACACTACACATGCGGCTAGAGCAAACTTGATTACTTTTCTAAGATTCTGAATTTAAAAATGATCCATCTTTTTTATTGGAGATTGGTTAAAATCAAATCTGTATTAACATGCGGTAAAATGAAAATCGCCCAACAGGCTAACTGACAGGCTGGTCCACTTGATTGCCTGTATACCCCTTAAGTCTAAAGACATATTTACGTTTAAAATATAATACAACACCACTAAAATGAGGTGTTTATTATAATAGGTCCTATTTCCTTATCCGTTCAGGGTGTGGATATAAAAAAAAGGATTTTGAGATTATTTTTTTATAATTAATTTGCTTCAATTTAATCACATGACTTTGAACAAGTGCATTGTGGGGCCGAGTTAGCATGTAAACATAGGCCGAAATATGGCGTCGACGTGAGACGAACGTGGCGGAGGAAGAGCAACAGCGGTCGGTTTGTTTGACTGCTGTATATTGTAGATTGTTTAATGCCTCATGCTGACCAACAGCTAGGTGCACATGATGTGGTTATGAAACTTTCCTTTGTCCTGATTATGATTGTGTGTTGTTTACGCCGCACTCAGCAATATTCCAGCTATATGGCGGTTGTCCGTAAATAATCGAGTCTGGACCAGACAATCCAGTGATTAATATCATGAACATCGATCCACGCAATTTGGATCGAAAATATGCATCAACCAAGTAAACGAGCCTGACAACCCGATCCCGTTGGTCGCTTCTTATGACAAGCGTAGTCACCTTTTACGGCAAGCATTGGTTGCTGAAGACCTTATTCTACCCAGGATCTTCACGCGGACACAATGCTTTATCGCAGGATACAGTCGGTGCCTTTAATACTTTAGCGAAGCATCTTAGAATTAAAATAAAGACATATTTTACGCACGGTGATGAGGAAGATTTCTTTAACCAATGAAGTAGGCTTAAATCTTTACCTAAACATGCAATCTGAGACGAAATAAGATGAGACTGTAGTAAGACTTCTAGTATCACTCCACACTGTATTATCTTAGAGTGGTCGGCACAAGCAGCCGAGCGCCAAACTATGCCATGCTCCTAACCAGACACGTCACACTGACGTCATAACTCGCCCCTTCGCCAGTCAAGGCGTTTCTTTACTGGCAGTGAGATGTGTCACTCGTGTTTAGGACGTAAACGGTGGGTAAGTTTTCCGCTTGTACTTCAGAATTTTGTTAGGAAATTAAATGAAACAAACATTGTAAATATTTTAAGATTGATGTACAACAGAATACATTTTGAAGGAATCAGATGCTTGCTTCACACAATATTTACACCCAGACGTTTGTTTAGCCTGTCACAAACGTCTGGATGTAAACATTCATACTTCGTTTCAACTGAAAAGCTTGTTCTATTTTAATCAGTGTATTGCATAATATATGCTTGTAAGTTTCATCTCTGAACTAATAACAATTATTTACAACTGGGACTGAAGACTTTATGAGATTTTTCTAAATCTGTTCAGTCAAGCGTCGGATGTGTTTTTTCGCTCATATTTTTAAAACGTTGTTCTGCATCATAGAACGGCCAAATGTGTCAGCCATATTATTTTTACACTCAAGGCCTGCAGCTTTGTTCTTCGAATCCGGAAAATATTATCAGGAACAAATGTATTTTTGCATTGCTTTTGAAGAATTGCAAGGAAATGTAGAATATATAAGAGAAAATGTGCATGATCCTCGTTATTGTATGAGTAAGTTAGAACGGACGTTAAATGTGAAAACAATTTGGCGCATGTCACACGGGCAATCGGCATTTCAGTCTTATCACTTTATAGAGCCACGTGTTTATTACCTTCTTTACACAACCAAACACCCTATCAAACATCTTGTAGTGCCGGCGACAGTTTCTGCCTCGGATAGTAAGCTGATCTGTGATGGGTGTACTGCCGCCATCGCTTGGAATGCTGAATTATGACAGTGTTGCAAAGAATTTTCCTGACACTGAATTACCACTGTGTTGCACACGCGCGTAGTGAAGTAGACCTGTTGCTCTTTTACATTAATTGTATATCATCATGAAAATGTCGTCACTGAAATATTAATCTGTAGCATGTCGTGTATCGACGTTTGTAATACTGTGTAGCCCGAGACACCAAACGACGTAAAATGCACCAGTTTCAGAGTCTAGTTAACAGAGTGTTTGTATCGGGGAGGGTGGGGACTAAAACATCAGGCAAAGTCACTCGGAACAACAAATAATTTACGTCAGGTCGCAGCACTCTACATTTAGTAGTAGGCTATAGCCTGTTATCATCAATTGGCAAAGGCAATATGGACCCAGAGAAACCATCAAGACAGTAGTCGATGTAACAATTGTGTTAAATGCCCATTGTCCACAGACGTTGAAATGCACGAGAAATATATTTTCCTCCAGAATTACACTGGTGGGCGTCCTATCCTGGTCAAAATATATATAACGATGTGCATTGATTCTCACTCGCAACAAATACCTGAGTATAATTTAAATATACAGTAGTAATAACATAGCGGGCAATGCAAATTAGAAAACAATATTCAGTATTTGACCTGTATGAGCGAAGTAGGTTTGCTATTCACAGTGTTGATACTCAATTGCAGATATTATGCAACAACGCACCAACTTGCGGGGACCATTTCATTGTCATAACGATTCCAACCACAACTAACGAAGTCAGACTAAAATACTAATCATTCCATAATTGGGAATTAAGGGTAGGTAGCTGATGTAATACCATGTTGTAAAGTTCCAAAATAATAAATGCACATATTATGTGTATTCTGTGTACAGCAATATAAACTAACATGTTTAGTCCTTAGTCCTCATAATGGTAACATATAAAACCCTAAAAATGACATGGCTACTAGCCTAGTCTTTATGATATCTGAACTATTGGGATGTTTGGCAAGGACTATAGGACGAGTGCCTATTTCTATCGCTGATGTAGTATTGTTCATTTATGTTGTTACTGTTGTATGATTATATTATTATGACAACAAAATAACAATCTATTCAGTTCCTGCAACTTCAACCAAGAGAAGAGATATATCTCAGCAGTTAGCACATAGGCAGTGTGCAGCTTAGACTAATTCAGGAAGTGATTCAATAAATAAAAAAATATAATAAATAATAAATAATAAATATAAGTGATTTCAAAAATTTGTCAGTCACCATGCTATGGTATATTAATAACATATAAGTCACACATTTGTTGAAAGGCAAAAGCTTCTCTGAGGCCAGGAGTTATAATGTTTACCTGCAATATATAGTTTTCTGAAAAGCATATATGGGGGTTTTGGGTGGTGGGCAGCCTAGTGGTTAAAGCATTCGACCTTCGCGCGGAAAAACCGGGATCGATTCCCCCACATGGGTACAATGTCCGAAGCCCATGTCTAGTGTTCCCCGCCCAGATATTGTTGGAATATTGCTAAGAACCTGTAAAATCCAACTCACCCAACCCAACTGAACAGCATATTTTGTGTTTCAGCCTCGAGCGACCCGAGTCGAGGAGAAAGGGCCGAACAGATGACGACAGTGACGACCCATGGTAGGTGGGAGAACCAAGCAGGTGGTAGATACTGTCACTGTCCAACTTTGTACGAGATGAGGTCACATTCACATGTAACAAATATAAGCCTGAAAGTTCACTCCAGAAACCTTCATATGAACAGTCTCTACAATAACAAGCTGATAAATGTAATCTCTTATTATCCTAATAATTTGTAACAAGTCAATTGTATTGCCAGTACCACCATAAGGCTCAATCCAACAAGCCTGTAGAGACGCGCGGCTCAGATGAACAGCAATCTCAATGTTTGTGTTGTATTTATGAAAGAATCTAGTCGTTTGACCGATTTGTTAGTCGCTAGACCTTATATTTATACCTCTACTAAGATGAATGGTTTTGAAATTGTATTCATCAGTCAAAATTTTAAATACACAAACTTTGTCGAATATCTTGTGTGTATAATGCTTATTTAGTTTGTATTGTTTTCTGAACAGCATGTTCTGTGTTTCAGCCTGGAGCGACCCGAGTCGGACCACGAGGACACCAGTGACGACCACAAAAAAGCCTGCTACACAGGGTAGGTGGGAGAACCCAGCAGGTAGAAAGCCCACACTTTAATCCCCCCAACAATTAACAAGCTGGGGTATAGACCCGTGGGGGTTCTGACTTGCGTCTTGCATGTCATCGTATTCCAGTTGTGTCGATCGGTGCTCATGTTGTCAACCACTGGACTGTCTGTACCAGACTCCGCCATGTTATTGCTGGACTACTGCTGAGTGCGGCGTAAAACAACAAACAAACAGACTGACATACTCCAATGTCATGTCTTATAAGATCTATCTAATATTTCCAAACAGCAACTGTACTGACAGTATCATCTCATAAAGCTCAGTTCATCAAACGTTGACACTCTCCAGCCACACACAGAATAATGTTACAACAACTGGATGTGACAGAAAGATTTTAAACATTGACCACATAATCCTTGATTACATGAACCAGCTGTCGTCCTTCCCCTTGATCCTTGTGTTGTCAGCCATGTTGGAAGTGGTTGATGACGTACCGTGTCACGTGTCACCACGTTGAGGTGTGAACCATGTAGATGTATGACGAAGATGTCTGGAAGTGTACAGAGTTTACTTTGTGTTACAGCGACTCCATCACCAGCAGACTGCAGGGACCTCTACTCGGCCAGCTATGACGGGAACCTGGAGGAGGTGAAGCGGCTCCTGTCTCAGGGCGTGGACGTCAACTGTAGGTGGAGGAGCGGGACACCGGTGATGTGGGCAGCATACAGGGGACACAGAGACGTGGTGGAGCTCCTGGTGAGTGAAGGGGCCGATGTGTCACTGGTGGACAGGAACGGTCACAACACCCTTCACTACGCCTGTGTGGGAGGACACTTGGAGACGGTGAAGTTTGTGCTGTCTCTGCACGTGGTGGACATCGACGCCAGGAACAACTACGGGGAGACGGCGGCCGACCTGGCGAGACGCAGGGGACATACGCGAGTGTTGGATCTCCTCGTGTCCCGCGGCGCTCAGTGACGTCAGTGTCGTGTTTGTGTAGACGGTGGGGGAGACCTGACAGTGACGTGGTGTCCCGTTCACGTCGTCGTGTGTACATATGTCTTTATTTACGTGAAACTGTTTGTTGTTTTTGGAGATGAATAAAACTTGTAAAAACTTTGTCAGACATTTTGTCATTTGTTGTGTTTGGAATTTCGCATGATCAGGTAAGAAAATTGTTAACTGAGTGTAAATAGAGATGATGTGTGATTGGTATGTAAGCACCGCACCTCGTGATACGTTCATGCATGTCATCATATATTTCTGTGTTAGTTTTACGCCATAAGTTTGTAATTAATAGTGAAAAACATATAAAAAAAACTGTTTGTTTACATCTCGCTGCACTCGGTGACGTCAGACCGAGCCGAGGTTCGCCCAGCTGACGTGGCGCCAAATGTACAATGACAGTGACGTCACACTGTCGATGACGTCACGGCATTCCGGCTTAGGTCTAAACACTAAAGCTGCCTGCTGTTTTCTCGGCTAAATACGATATCAGTAATTCACAGGGCGGCACAATGCTGGCTTTGCGATGTATGCAAGTACAGCACAGGCCTCATGTGGGCGATATAGATTAACAAATCGAGATGTGTTGCATATTATTGCTGCTGAAATTTAAAAAGAAATATTTCTGATTGGTGAGATATTTATTTTCTCTCTCCCATTTCACCATTTCAATCAAGCTTCTTCCCAGCGGGTGACACCTTCTTTACACTCTCGTCTCACGACTGACCAGATTCCCAGATGAATTCAGAGCTATAGATAGGGTTTTGGTTATTTGTTGTTTTTCACCCAGGGGCAGGATGCCAGAGGGACATATATGTCCCTCCTCTTCAAACCTCACTTTGAAGTCGAATAAAATACAAAATACATCAGACACGCAGATACACTTCACAGTTTTGTATACTGTGAACTTTCCGCCATATTAGATAGTGTTTACAAAATCACGTTACACATGTACCGGTAATGAGACGTCTGTAACATTACGCGTATTTCAAACTCAGCTGTGATACATACATCCTTGAATTCCTCATACATTTTAGAAACAAATGACACATGGTCTCTGTCACCAATACACAGTGCCGAGATCAAATCAAGCAAAATAAGTAAGAAAACACCGCTGTGCACGAAAAACTGCACTGGTTTGAAATGTAAACAAAGCAAAATACATATTTTACAGTGTAGCATTTTCCCCTATTTTGAGCTATCCATTCGTCTATTCGTTCAGAATATGCATTGGAAGAGAATTATAGGAAAAATTAGGGAATTAAAAATAGCTATATCGCTATGATTTGATATTTTTCAAAAGAAATTGTCAACGCTACCGTTCTGTGTGACGCCATGACTGACGCAAAATCACGCACAACGACAACAGTATTTATCGGAATTTCTGACTATTTCCGTTGGTTTCAATGAAAATATAACAACAAATAACAGTAAACAGATTGTCAGAATGTTTCTGATTACTTACATGTCACATGTACGATCAGTGAATCAACGAAAGTCACCTCGTACAATCCCACGTACTGTTGACAGGGAACACGTCATTTTGTAAAAGTCAATCACCGGTAGTGATGTCATAAGTCAACATTGTTGAACATATTTGGTAATTTCTTTAAGGTGAAGGCCCTTGAACGATCATCGTATTTTGTTGTTTACAGTTTCAAGTGTGATGTAGATTTTGCATATCTCTAATACATATTTTCACACAATTAATTTCACTTTGGATATCTGCCAGTGTTCAATATAATATCATACGTAAATATAGGCCACAACATGTATGAATGTACCTTTGATAATCTGGTGTTTGTTTGAACATTGTTTACATAAGAAATTGATAAGTTTATAGTGCCGTATACGATATTTCTGTCCTTTGGACAAGTGTTACAAGGTGAAATATAAATGTAACTGCAACATGTACGTATTTCTTGGGAGTGTAAAAATCAATATTATAAGTTCATACAAACAACGTCAATGAATAGCCGTTTCATTTTCATTTAAAACTAAAACTGATTTATTACTTTAACAAAATGGATATTTTGCGTTAAAATATACGCACACATTTCCAGGAGAATTGTCTTGGTCTTGAAATAGTTTTTTTTAAGTCGTTTGATAAACATAACAGTGATATCTAATGATTCGCAGATGCGCGTTGTCACAAACGATTTACGAATTATTCCTCTCGTTTTGCATTATATAATCAAATTGTTCATCTTTTTCTAAATATTGTGATGACAGGATAGTAAACTGTTCACTTTATTTATCCAAGAATTGTAAAAAGTATTTAAGGGAGGAATATATATATATATCAATCAAAATACCAGTGTCGTCTTTCTCCGACGTTGTCAAAGACATAAAACCAGCCAAACATCAAATAGAAGGGTGTGATGTTTTTAGTATTTCATTACATTTGATCACAAGGCCAGTGCTTCATTAACAATGGGGGCGGTCGATAAGCCTAGTGGTTAAAGAGTTCGCTCGTCACGCCGAAGACCCGGGTTCGATTTCCGACATGGTTACAATGTGTGAAGCTCATTTCTGGTGTCCCCCATCGTGATATTGCTGGAATATTGCTTAAAGCGGCGTAAAACCAGACTCACTCACTCACTCCATTAATAATGGTGCAACATAAGCCAAATTACACGTGCACAGTCAGAAGAATGTTGTAATCTAATGACCAATTTACAGCTTAGATAGGGCCATTCATTTCGCTATTACTTATGAAGTACGATTTCATCATTTCTTACGGTAAAATAAGGGAGTATACAGTTTCAATATCGATATTTGTGTTGGAATAGTTTGGTTACTCGTGAACAAAATACCACGAAAATATACTGTCCTTGCCCACAGCTAATTCTCACCAAGTGACCTAGCTGAGTTTAAATAAACTGGAGCTAAGCATAGCTGAGTTATGCCCCCTTTTCTTTTTACGTGTGTAACCTCCCTGTCGCCTTTTGACGTCATAGAGCACAACATCCCCGCAGGAATTTTTTTAACGTGTTCATATTTTCCTTGTATTTTATGAAATAACAACAGTAGATGTGCAGAACATTTTGTTGGGGGTAATCCAGTCTGAATGCTAATGCCATAAGGATGTAGCTCACCCACAAAAGCTTTATACAAGGAAACTAACTATAGTTATAGTTATAGTAAGATATTGTGATATACTCTGGAAACTGGAGGAGTAGATTTCATGAAGCTCCGTAAAACAGGGGCAGTAACTCTGTCAAAATTTGTCGAAATGAAACAGGACTGCGATATACGTATCATTAACATGTCGACATCTTGTGTGTAGAGTGTCAGGATATTTTCACAAAACTGTAGGAGTTGATTTCACAAGCTTAGTACCCTCTCTCACAATTAGGCAAATGAAGCTCCGTAAAACAGGGGCAGTAACTCTGTCAAAATTAGTCAAAATGAAACAGGGCTGCGATATGTGTATCATCAACATGTCGACATCTTGTGTGTAGAGTGTCAGGGATAATCTCAGGGAGATGATTTCACAAGCTGAGTACCCTCTGTGGGACGGACGGACGGACAGACGGACGGACTGCGCCACGACATAATCCCCCTTCGGCCATTATGGCCCCGCAGAGGATAAAAATCAGTTTTCGTCATTTACGGCAGGCTATTTTTTGCATTGAATGTATGTCGTTATACACACGCATATAACTCCATTTGATATATATTTATGTCGTTCAGATATTAGGCAGAATTTTGTTTACTCACAGTTTCCGTAAAGCTGCTAAATAAAAAAAATCGTTGCACAGTACTTTTACCATGCAGTGTACGATAAAAAGCGGCGAAATTTCCTGAATACATTTTCGGACAACACTTGGCAGTATCTTTTGTTCAAACCGGATTGATATCTGCAGTTAGATTTACACCATCAGATAGGAAATTTGATACTCGGCGTAATCTTATAGCCGGAGGTAGATCCAGTCCCGCATGAGCGCAGTTGTCGCACAGCCTTCACTTTTCCGATCTTAGGAAAATGTGCGTCAGAAAAAAACCTCAGCATCCAGCAGGTTAATTTTGTTTGCGTTTCCCCTTTTTTAAGGTACAATATGTATAATGTGAGGTGAGGTGAAATTGGGTTTAACGTCGCGTCCAAGATTATTGCACTTATATAGCGACGTGCATGCACGTGTATGTGTGTGTGTGTGTGTGTGGCTGCTTGTACTAGTCCGGACTGATGCCGATTTATAGTGCTAGCTCACTGAGATACCATGCCGCAATTTAAACATGAATACCCCACTCAGACACAGTATACTGACTCCGAGCCGACCAGTCCTTGTTTTAGCCCCTTAATGCCGAGCGCCAGACAGGGTAACAACAAGTACAATCTTTTAACGTCTTTTTGTATGACGCGGCCCGGGATCGAACCCTCGACCTTCCGCTCTCCGGGCGGACGCTCTACCACAAGACCACGGAGGCGGTCATATGTATTATGAATACTGACGAGGCACGATGTGCTTTTCATTTGGCATCTATCGGTTTGTTCATCGCAAACGCTTTTCCGAATGTAACTGACGTTAAGTGAATTTGGCGATCGGCTGATACACAATCATGTTATCTAACAGTTGTAATATATGCAATCGTTTTTTTCTAATAGTTATAATATAAGCATAAATTTTATTTAAACAGCAAAAAGTTTAGTTTTTGTTGCGTATTTGATACGCAAGGATATGATTTGTCTGCGTAGTTCCGTTTATTTAATGTGTATTTTACGCAAATATACAGCTCATCTCGAGCTCTGGAATTTATTTACCTTTTTCTTTGTTTAATCAGATTCGACCGAGATTGCAGACTAACATGAAATCACTAGACTGGGTTCCTGTCTACCTAAACTAAATCGCGCTAACCTTGCGTGGCGCACCAACAATGGAAACAGTTTAATAAAATCACCATACTTGCCCCTGACATTCCTACTGTACCAATTATATGATAGTTGATACGAAATAGAATTCAAATTGACAAAACAATAATTATTAGCTGGGGTAAGTGTATATTCGGCGTCACGGAAGTCACATGAATATAAACAAAATGGTCAGTCGGTTGCGAGTTGAACTCCAAGCATGGTTGTGGTCACCTATCACTGTGGGGAGCTTTGACTGGTG